GTGGGGGCAAGGATGGCAACGCCGACCCCGAGACCAGCAGCATCACATCCTCCGGGTCCGAGGACGCCAAGCAGATGGGGCGGCCCTCGCCCTCGCCCATCACTGCCGCCTGTAAAGGACTCATCTGTGAGTTTCTGCTCGCCGCTAAAATGATAATAGCACACCAGGCAAATGTGTCATTTGAGGAGAATAAAATCACCAGAAAAGGTCGTAATTGTTTTGTGTTGTGTGCCTGAAGCTCGGAAAGAGGGGCGGTATCGCGGACCTCCCCCGACGCTGACCATCTCTGACCTGGCGGATGGCCAGACGCCGTCCCCTCCAGGCCCTAATTCGACCACGTCTGCGACGCCAACGCCGTCGAGCCGCCGTCCACCTGACTACACCACGGCGCTGCAGCGCTCCCGCATGGTCACACAGTCCCCCGACTCGCAGGCCCACCAAACGGCATCCAAACAGAGAGGCAACGGCCTCCGGCGTGGCCGGAACGACGAAGAGGACGACGAGGCGGCGGCGGAAGAGGAGGATGAGGAGGAGGGTGAGTCTCCTAAACTTGTCGCTCTGAGGAAGCCGAGGGCGCAGCGTACACCCCGGCCCCCCTGGCCGTGACCGTGTGCGTACGGGAGGGGTGCCCCCTCTATCCCATAGCAGGTAAAGACTGATTTATCAGATAGCTCAACCCCACCCCAACCCCCCACCCGCACCTCACCCCGCGTCCCCACCTCAAGTGCATGCCAACACACATGGATTCAGACCTGACCACTCACCACTTGCTGCTAAATCTTGAGAGACGCCCCCAGAGACACCCCCAACCCTCTCAATTCCTTCAGAACCTTCCAGGTTTATCATGGATTGTTTGTTCAGAGAGGGACTTTAATGCATGTTAAGAGAAAATAAACATCACGCTCGCGCACACACACACACACACACACACACACACACACACACAGAGCTTCTCACTCTCACCAGAATCGTGTATGGAGTCTGTCTGATTATGTTAGTCGAAAACATTTATTTATACTTACATTAAAAATGAAAACACAAATGTTAAATTACTCGACATGACCTAACTATCCACTATCATTTGGATTGCAGTACAGTATATTTTGAACCAAGTATTTCGACAAGCAAATGGACTGTAAAAAAATGGAGCTGTTCCACTTTGTGGAGATGTCAGTAAATTTCAGATGCATCAAAAAAGTTGAGTAAAAGTAATGAGTAAAACCGGAATTTTTTTCAAACAATAAAACACATACAAATAAAACCATATCAAAAATATTTTCTACAAGAATATCTGAGTATTTAACTTTTTTTTTTTTTTGTAAACGAGAGAGAACTTTCCAGAAATTAAATTGTGTTTATCAACACATCCATCCACATTCTGAACCATTTACCCTTCCTCCAGTCATACAAATTGGTACAGAACAACACACATTGATGCACTTAACGAACATAAACTCTTCTGTTGTATAAAATTACTTATTATAGCACAGTTGCAGTACAATGTGACTTCAATTTTAATATATTGCTGACTAATAATGTTGATGGTTGTCAGGAAGGTTAAAAAAAAAACTTTCCGCATTCTTTTGGATTGATATTTTTTGTCTTATAAAAAATGCGTAATTTTCACTCAAACCACAGTAAAATCGTCATTGTATTGTTAACGAGATATGTGGCAAAAATATTGAGATATTACATTTTAGCCATCTCGCACAGTCCTATTCCTGATGCACATGGAAGAAGTTCAAATTGAAGTGGTTGATGAGCCAGAGAGGATGGAAATGAATATAAACATTTCCAATGAGCTGATCGTAACCTCGACTGTTTTGTTCTCTCCACAGATGACGAGCAGGTGTCGGCTGTCTGAGGCAAAAAAAAAAAAAAATCTCTTCGCCGTCCCTCCAAGCGACCAATAGACTCTCATCATCAAGCTACGTATGTGCCTGCTCTGCCTCCTGATTGGTGGATTCCTCCCGTTGGCTCCCCCCCGCGCCTTAAAGCATTATGGGGGTTGACGGACCCTGCATGCAAAAAAACTCAAGAAAATACTGTGAAGAAGATGATGATGATGATGATGCGTTGAAAGATGACATGCCTGGCACTTTTTGGACAATATAAAGACATTTTTAAAAATGAAAACAACAATGCTGACATCCATCTGCACTAAAAAGTACAAAAAAAAACAGAAGCAGCAGACATTTTGAGAACTCTTTAATCAAAGTCTTTTGCACTCCTGACCTGCTCTCCAGGAGATCGGAACAATGACGCCAGTATTAACACACACAAAAACAAAAAGGACAAAACACACACACACACACGCACACACATTTGACGAGCACTTTCAGCACAAAACCTAGTGGACGCCAAGCTCGTGGACGCCAGGGTAACGATGACGGGGCGGGATCACGTCATCGTCTGTGGGGACGCCGGTTGGCATCCGAAAAGCACAACAATAACAAAAATGTGGGGATCTTAAAAAAAAAAAAAAAAGCCAGGATGTGGCGCCTTGAGGACTAGAAAGTTGTCAGTCATGGCCCTCGTTGACATTCAAAAGTTATGTTTGTGTGAATGTCCAAAGCGCCTTAGGACTGCACATTCATCCCACAACGCCCACCCAAACTTCAACAAGCAGAGTGAAAAGCCTTATGACTCAACGCTTCCTCTACATCATCCTGCCCTGAAACAAACACATACACATATACATGCACACAAACAAAATTGGACATCGCCGCGGTCCGCAAAACTAGGACTTGACTGAAGGACTTTTTGTTGTTGTTGTTGTTGTTTTTGTAGACTTTGGTGGCGAAGGAATGGAATAAAATAAAAGCTAAATAAGGCTGCCGAAAAGGTCGATGCCGAGGAGTGTTAGAGCCACACAGGAATGAGAACCTAAATAAATCAATCTTAGCTGCAAATAACGGTTATATTAATGATCTAATGATCGATGAATTAATTGGTCGGATTTTTTTTTCTTCCTTTGACTAAGCTGTCAATCGATGAATCTGATAGAAAAAAGAAAAAGCATTTCCATCCCTTCCTTGAAAAACAGGACATTTCAAATTGACACTGCAGAAAACACCCATTAACGATTATTCAGATACTATAGTTTGGTCCGTAATGACTCAGAAAATAGGCAAAAATGTTGGTCTTTGCTTTTGAAGGTAAAATTAGATGGTTGCAAATGTTTCATTTTCGTTCAGCGCAGAGTAAGTCCGCTATCATGGACGACTACAGAAACTGGATATTTCATGTTGAGAAGCTAAAATTGCTCGCATTTGAACAATTTTGAATAAGAGAAAATATCGAAATGATTAATGATCAAAAATAATGGAGTAATTTGATCATCGATTAGTTGTTGCACCTCTAAAATCAAGTCAAGGCAACACAGTTGAATTGTTAGGGATAAAATACTTCCAGGGGAAATCATTGTCTTTTAAAGTTGTCAGAACGTTGTTACCATAAAGTCATAATTGTCAAGTATAAAATCTAACCATTACCAGAAAAATACACGTTTTTGGAAGAACATTTTTAATTTGGATAGAATAAGAAAAGTCATTGGATTAAAGTGTCAATATTGAGAGGAAAAAAATCATAAACGAGAATCAGCCTACATTTAAAATGGAAAATCTTGTCTTGAACCAAAAGTAAAAATTGCAATATTTCAAGCATAAAGTGGTTATGTAACCAGAAAGTCATAATCTTTTCATCATAAAATCTAAGTATCACTGGGAAAATAAGTTATATTTAACATTTTACAAGGAAACATATTCCGAGTTAATGAGAATAAGATTCCAGAATTTTTCCAGAGGAAAAAAAAGTCACTCTTGAGAATCCATTCTGAATTTTATGAAATAGATACAATAAATAAATCATAATTGTTCAATCATTAAGCGACAATGATCGTTATATTCTTCCAAGGATAAAATCTGACTATTACCGGAAACAAAGTTGCAACTTGAGAATGAACTTGTCATTTTTCAACAAGCTGTAAATTGAGGAAAAACAGTCCAAAATCTTGACCACAAAATGTTTTATTTTACCAGAATAAACTCTAAATATTACCAGAAAAAAAGACTTTTTACTTTTAATGGAAATATTTAATGGAACATGAATGTTGCGAAAAAAGAGAAAATGACATGATTTTCTGAATTTTCAGGTCAAATGCTAACTTCTCTGGTAAGACCTGTGTCCTAATTTTCTGACTTCTGATTTTTTTTCCTTTGTTTTCTTTTGAGTGTTGCGCTACGACTCCTCGGGTGAATGGTCCTCCAATCACAGAATCCTTCTGATCACATTGATCAGTTTGGTCAAAAAGATTTAAAAAAAAGAAAAAAAACGTTAGTAAAATAAACTAGACTGAAGGGGGAAAAGTGTTGTCCACTGCGACGACACTCAAAAAAAAGTTGTTCTATTTGTTATTGTGAAAAACAGTTTGTTTGTTTCGTTTCGTATGGGCCACATTTGAAGACGTGACATTGCACAAAACGTGTCCGTTTGATGTCGTGGGTAGAACTGCTACTGTTGTGGTGATGATGATGATGATGAAGGTGATGACATAGTGTACATTTTAGCTGGTGATGTTCTCCTTCCCTCTACTACGACTCACACTTGTATGTCTTTTACAAAGACAATTTGTGGAGTACGCATCGCTCATTTTTGTTTCTTTTTTTTGTATTTTTAATACAATAATTGTAAATATTGGTTCTATTTTTGTTCAAATGTATTATGTTTATGCCTCAACATCCAGTTTGTATGAAGCTGGGAATCAATAAATACTGCATACAGAGTACAATTGCTGACTTTTTCTTTTTTGTTGTTTGTTTTGGTTTGGTCAGTACAAAGTAAATTGCCTTGAATGGTGAAATAATGCACAAAGTGTTAGACAAACAGCATAATTGCACAAATCATTTTTGAACATTTCCAGAAAACAAAAAGTTCAAACAAGAAAAGTCCACTTTCCTTCACTGAACCCTGACCAACAATCGAAGATTTCTTTGTTTTCACATATTGAATATTGCATGAGTCCAGATCACACACTTAAGAACACTTGAAAATGTTCTTTCTTGACTGTTTTGAGTCCTCACCCTCCCTCGTCATGCGGTGAAAGATGTTTAAATTGTGGGAAAACGTCTAGTATGTCTCTGGGTCCACTTTCTGTGCAGAGCAAACACCGGTAACATCAAACTCTGACACGTTTTTCTTGTAATTGCGACAAACGGTCTGAAGAAGTGAATGAAACACTTCGTGCCTGCATCGGACAGATGAGTATGAGTGACACGCCAAGAACACAAACGGGCCAATTATCGGGAACATGGTGTCATGTGCCGAATCGGCCTCCAGAGGGCGCAATCCGCCACGAAAGTATTGGTGGCGTGTGTGTATGAGTGAGAAAGGGAGTGAGAGCGTGTGTGACAGAAATTACGCGACGTGTGAGAGCGTGCGTGCGAAATGTGTAAAAAAAGAGAAAATGACATGATTTTCTGAATTTTCAGGTCAAATGCTAACTTCTCTGGTAAGACCTGTGTCCTAATTTTCTGACTTCTGATTTTTTTTCCTTTGTTTTCTTTTGAGTGTTGCGCTACGACTCCTCGGGTGAATGGTCCTCCAATCACAGAATCCTTCTGATCACATTGATCAGTTTGGTCAAAAAGATTTAAAAAAAAGAAAAAAAACGTTAGTAAAATAAACTAGACTGAAGGGGGAAAAGTGTTGTCCACTGCGACGACACTCAAAAAAAAGTTGTTCTATTTGTTATTGTGAAAAACAGTTTGTTTGTTTCGTTTCGTATGGGCCACATTTGAAGACGTGACATTGCACAAAACGTGTCCGTTTGATGTCGTGGGTAGAACTGCTACTGTTGTGGTGATGATGATGATGATGAAGGTGATGACATCGTGTACATTTTAGCTGGTGATGTTCTCCTTCCCTCTACTACGACTCACACTTGTATGTCTTTTACAAAGACAATTTGTGGAGTACGCATCGCTCATTTTTGTTTCTTTTTTTTGTATTTTTAATACAATAATTGTAAATATTGGTTCTATTTTTGTTCAAATGTATTATGTTTATGCCTCAACATCCAGTTTGTATGAAGCTGGGAATCAATAAATACTGCATACAGAGTACAATTGCTGACTTTTTCTTTTTTGTTTTTTGTTTTGGTTTGGTCAGTACAAAGTAAATTGCCTTGAATGGTGAAATAATGCACAAAGTGTTAGACAAACAGCATAATTGCACAAATCATTTTTGAACATTTCCAGAAAACAAAAAGTTCAAACAAGAAAAGTCCACTTTCCTTCACTGAACCCTGACCAACAATCGAAGATTTCTTTGTTTTCACATATTGAATATTGCATGAGTCCAGATCACACACTTAAGAACACTTGAAAATGTTCTTTCTTGACTGTTTTGAGTCCTCACCCTCCCTCGTCATGCGGTGAAAGATGTTTAAATTGTGGGAAAACGTCTAGTATGTCTCTGGGTCCACTTTCTGTGCAGAGCAAACACCGGTAACATCAAACTCTGACACGTTTTTCTTGTAATTGCGACAAACGGTCTGAAGAAGTGAATGAAACACTTCGTGCCTGCATCGGACAGATGAGTATGAGTGACACGCCAAGAACACAAACGGGCCAATTATCGGGAACATGGTGTCATGTGCCGAATCGGCCTCCAGAGGGCGCAATCCGCCACGAAAGTATTGGTGGCGTGTGTGTATGAGTGAGAAAGGGAGTGAGAGCGTGTGTGACAGAAATTACGCGACGTGTGAGAGCGTGCGTGCGAAATGTGTATGTATGCGTGCGTGCGTGCGTTATATATATATATATATGTCTGTATATATATAATATATATACAGACACACATCAGCCATCGCGTTACCTCTGCGTCTCGCGTCCTAGACGCATAATTTTCCCGCGGAACGCACAGTTCCAAATATTGTGCGTTTTTGGGATGCAAGGAAATTTCTCAGTCAAAACAAACAAACAAAAAAAAAATGATGGTTTAATATTAGTAACCGTTGAATAATCACTAGCGTTAGCGTGTCGTTTCCGTGGCGTCATTTTGACAGTATCGAAAAATCGTTTAACCATAAAAGTCACCGCACACCAGTTGACTGTACGCGATCAAATCTCTCCGGTGTGATCAACGCGATTTCACTGTCTGTATGTGTGTTTGTGGTGTTGTGTGTGAGTGTGTTTCTTCTAATTTACTTTCGTTTTGTTTTCAGTGTTGGGGGGGGTGGGGGTGGACGGACAGAACAGATCACGTTATGTGCGCATGCGGGTTGCTATTTTAGTCCGCAAACTGAGGAATCGCGCGGATGAAAGTTTGAGATGGCGGCGAAAACAACACACAAAGGTCTACTAATTACGACATTTAAGAAACAGGAATGCCAGTCTGATTTTTCGTATGAATCGTCCGAAGGGCGTATCACTATCTCACCTGTGATGTATGCACAGACCACGAGAGCGAGATACGACGGGAGGCACGATTACGAGGCAAGTTGGTCATTAGATTTGTAGGCTAATCGCTCTGAAAAAATATTATGAAACAGTATTGGTTATTCTATAACTTACTGGTTGTAGCATGATAACATTCGTCACGAGGTGTAGTAATGCTAATGTTAACTGTTGGTAGAACTAA